AAAACTCCCCTGGCCAAACCTTGCAAATGAGTTTTTGTTGTTTGTGCAGTGAGGAGCCAGATTTTTAAAGGCTGGCTTTCAATTTTACAGCTGTTTATTACAGGCATGAATAATTGCTGGCACGGTGCTACCACTGCTATTGTTTGCTCTTAAGGTTGGGCCAATTACATATGTAAGCCCTTGATTTACAAGCAAAAGCAGAACTAAAGTAGCTTTGTGGCCTACATTTCAAGAATGAGTGATATGTCCATGGTCAGCTGTGGGTTCCCAAATTTGTGCTGTGAACCACAGAGGTCCATGGCCATAAATGTGTGGCCCAGATTGTCCAAGGCATCCTGTGGCACGGGCTGTCACAGCACAGTGTGAAGGACATAAACAGGGAGCAGCGAGTGAGGCCCGGGAACCTGCCCAGATTCATCCCATGGCAGGAATGCTGAAGGATTGTGCTGCATTTGGGGAATTCACAGTGAACACACAGAAAAGAAAGGGAACTGGAACTGAACATAATGGTTCTGCAAGATGGACTTAAACCAAGCCTGTCCAAGTCCTGCTTCCCAACATGAGAACTGGTCTGTCTCCAGCTTCTCTGGGCACTCAGCCCTCTTGGGAGAGGAGAATCACAGAATCCCAGAATGGTTTGGGTTGGAAGGGACCTTGTTATGGTTTGACACTGGCACAAGGCCAAATGCCCCCATGAAAATACACTTTGTCTGGTGTCTGCTGTGAGATTTTGACCAGGAATAAACAAAGCAGGCTCTCACTTGAAAAAAAAGAAAAGTTTATTAACTAAACTACAAAAACAATTACTAAACTACACATAAAAGAAAAAGAAAACACAAGGAAAATGAAAACCTCACAAAAACACTCTCCTCCTCCTCCTCCCCCCTAAATTCCCAATACAATACAACTTCCAAAATCACCAATTCTGGGTCCAGCACCACCCTTTAGAATGCTCAACTTTCAGTTCCTCAAGAGGAGAGGGAGTCCTTCCATGTGTCGTGGTGGCCTTTTCCGTCCTTGTTCGGGTGCTCTCACCACCGAACAAGAATCAGGGCTGCTTCCAGGATTGTCTTTTTAAAGATGCTTTGTCCAGTTCCAGAAAAGCACAGTATCTCACCTTTGGGACATCTGTCCCCCCCCTATTTTATATACCCCCTGGGGCCGAGGGGTACCCACACTGAATCTTCCCTGGCTCTGGGACATTTCTCCCCCTGGACTCAGTCTCTGTATCACACGGAGACATGGCTCCCACTCCATCTTCTCCATTCTTCCAACATCTCTCACTCTCTCTCTCTCTGGTCCAGATCTTCATCACTCATGATGCTTCCTGGCATTTCTTTACTTCTTCCTTCCACCCTTGGTGGGGGGGGGGGGCCAGGCCTACCTCTCCCGGGCCGGGCCGCATGGCTTTTCCCCTCCCCCTGCCCAGCCAGCAACTGGGCCAGGTGAGAGACCCGACTCCTTCCCGCCGGAAATCCAAAGAGACCCTGCCGGGGGGAGAGCCCTGCTTTTACCCTGTGTTCTCAGAGGTGGATCCAATGCCCAGTGGTTGGGCCAGATGGCAATATTCAAATCTGAGCACTCATTGGCCCTATCTACAGCATCCCAGAAATCCTGTTTCCGGGTCAAACCATGACAGACCTTAAAGCCAATCCCATTCTCCACCCCCTGCCATGGACAGGGACACCTTCCACTGTCCCAAGCAGCTCCAAGCCCCAGTGTCCAACCTGGCCTGGGACACTGCCAGGGATCCAGGGGCAGCCACAGCTGCTCTGGGAACCTTGTGCAAGGCTCTCATTTTCTTCCCAATATCCCATCTAACCCTGCCCCCATCAGTGTGAAGCCATTCCCCCTCGTCCTGTCACTCCAGGCCTTAGTCCAAAGTCCCTCTCCAGCTCTCCTGGAGCCTTCTAGGCAGTGGAAGGGGCTCTGAGGTTTCCTCAGAGCATTCCATTCTCCCCTCTACCTCTTTCAGCCTGTCTCCAGAGTGAAGGTGAATCCATGGAATAGCTGCTATCCACTGTGGAACTTAAAAATGGCTGATTGAGATCAAGCAGAGGATTTTTCTTGCTTCTGCACAACAGGCAGAGAATGAAAAGGAGGTAGGTCAGTGTGATGACTGTTCTCCATGGGGTGATGGTTTCCAGACATCACCCACAAGTGCTGTGACCTGGACTCTGCACTGCCCAGCATGGGGAAGGTGTCACCGTGCTGTGCTGGTGCCATTGGGTGCCACCAGCCATGGGGTGAGGTGGGAGCCAGCCCAGCTGTGCTCCTCCACCCTGGCCTGGTGGCAGGCTGGTGTCCTTGCTGCTGGGAGAGCAGGAAGGGCAGGATGTGAGGAAGGGCAGGATGTTTGTGGGCGCTGATGTCATTGCCACAAATCAGTCGTGGATGTTGTCAGTGGGAGGCAGCGGCGGCTCAGCTTGGGAAGAGGCCAGCATGTCACAGCCCAGGGGCTGGCCAGAGGAGCACACTGCACTCATATCCTCACTCATCACACAACACATGGCTTCTCAGCCCCCTCCTGCAGGGTTTGTGTGGTCAGCTGGAGGCCGTGGCCACCTCCCTGGTGTGCATGGCCCAGGCTCAGTCTGAGTCCTGCTGATGGACTCAGCTTGGAGATGCTCTGCCCCACCTCAGCAAAGGCTGCTCCTGCTGCCATCCAGCTGGGCAAGAAGCATTGGTGCAGGACCAGTGATTTCTGGAGTGATTTCCTGAAGCTTCTGAAGGCAGAGACAGCACCCAGACCCCCCTGGCAGCCCCGTGGTGTGCACTCTGGCCCTGGCAGACCCGTGGGCAGCAGAGCCATGGGGAGGCACAGCCAGGTTTGTTTACGAGGCTGCAGTCAGCCTGGCTTTTGCACCCCAGCATTTACTGGCAAGCCCTGGCTGCTCCTGCGCCTTCGCAACACATGTGTGAACTCCTGGTTGTGTCACCTCCCTGCCCCCTCCTAGCAGAGTCTAGCAGTGGGAAGTGATCATCACAACTCACATTTGCCTGGCGTATGTCTTTCCACAGTTCCAGAGTGTGGAATGAATTGAACCCGCTTCCTGCTTCACCTTCAAGCTGTTCCTGGATGCAGGCAGCTCAGCTCCCGCAGCCACGCTCAGCTCTCGGAGCTTTTTCTGCCCTAGGGATGGAGCCCTTCTCTCCTGCCTGGCAGAACCTGCCTGGATGCTCCCCCTTGCAGAGGTGGTGTTCATCTCATGATCTTTTGGGCTTTTCCTAACCCTTCCCTTGCCAGGCTGAGGCTTTATATCCACTCCCTCCTCCACTGTGGCAAAGGAGGGCTTTTTGTCTTTGCCTTCAGGGTCTTTAAATCTTAATTAGCACGTTGGCTTTCTTTGTCAAGGTATCCGCTCTCTCCATTCATCAGTGATGTAGGGCACATTGCTGACATTCTCTTCTTCCTGCATAATTATCTTATTCCATTGCATCTTTTATGCACAATCTTCCCTTCTGGAAGGGCTCCTCTCCCTGCTCCCACTCTCCCTGAGCACCCAGTTCAGCTCTGGTACCTGCCATGGCCTTGTTTCTTACACCTGCATATGAATCCTTTGAGTTATTCCTGTATTTTGTTAACTACCTCGATCATCTTGGCTCTTTGAGAGCTTGATTCAGGCATTTATAAGTGTTTCCTTCACCCTCTCTCTGAAAAATGGGATCTGTGTCACCCAGCTTCAGTGCTCCTACACGAGTTTCCACCTGAGCTGGCTATCCAGCCAGGGACAGGGAATCTTCCAACAGGCAAATCATTCCAGCTAAGGCAGGAGTCAAAGGCAGCCCCATCTCCCATTAGATAAATCATCTTTTCTGCTAGCTACTGCTGACCTTGAATTTCTCAGATGCTTTTCAGAACAGATGCAGCCCCCTTTAGAGTGACCCTAAAGCTCTAGGCAGTGGATTTGCCTCTCTGGGTTAGCCAGGGCAAGCCCCATGGAAAAACAGACATGGGGTCTCTAGGGACATGCAGACCACAGGTCAGGACATGTTACTGAGGGAGCCCAGGCAGCTGTTATGGGCTGGAAGTCTTAATTGTAGCTGTCTGATGTTAACAGAGATGAATCTGACACTTGGAAAGGTTTGGGGGAATGTTTTCTTAATTTGTATTTAGGAAATGTAAAGGTATATAGTGAATGTTTAAAAACTAACAGCAGCAGTAATAACAGTAATTATAGGTGGGCACAATTTTCTTTTATCTTTTAACTGAAATTGCTAGAAAAAAATGACTGATGTGCTGATACTTGGCAGGGACACTGATGTGAGTACCCACTTGTTTCTGAAAAACGCTGTGGGATTTTTAATGACCATCAGCAGCACAACCTTGATTTTTAAATGTCATCCTAAATGTAGCAGTTACAGCCTCCTCTGCCGTGGCATGTGGGTGGGTGAGTAGGGATGAATCAGAAAGCAGAAAGAATTGCTGGTGCTTTCTGTGGCTCCCAAGTTTTCCTCGAGGGCTTCCCACCTATGAACGGGCTGGAATTATCCATGGGTTGTGTTGCAGTCCCTGGTCCCATGGCATCTCCTGCTGTTGCTCTCCCCTCTATTAATCCATGATTAAGTCGCTTGATGTAGAATGAGTTCATGAGATTTCTTCAGGAGCTGGTATTCCACAGGATATCCTCTCTGTTTATCAAAACAAGATAAATGAGAAAAACGTTTCCTAGCTTTTGCAGATGCAGTTTTCCATTCTCCCTCTGGCTGGAAACACTCCCCAGGCTTCACTTTCGGAGCTGAAATCTGTGCTTGGCATGTGCAAGATGGTGATTTGCTTTTGTAAATGGAGCAAAGTCTTGGTTTTGAGTCATGACTCAGTGAAACAAATCTACTTTTATCGACTAAAACGATTCTAATAGCACCATTAAACCCGCTGGGACCGGGAAGAGCCAGAGTGACACGGCAGTGGGGTGGATCCAGCATCTTCCCTGGCCTGCCAAGGCTCGGGAGCAATGAGTGGATGGGTGTTTAAGGAGCATCCCTCCCTCCCTCCCGCCATGGTACCCGGGGCACGGCCGCAGCCAGGCAGGTGGGAGCGCAGGGAGGCTCTGATAGGAGCTGCTCTGCCCGCCCGGGGACGGGAGGAGCTGCGAGCAGATGGCAGGGTTAAGATAGGACAGAGCTGCGCCGAGCTGCTGCTGCAAGGGAGAGGAGTGAAATGCCTGTTCTCACACTTCACTTTGTGTCTCAGGAAGAGCTGTGGAGCGCCTGCGCTCCGCTGGCATTCCCAGCAGGAACGCGCCAGGCAAAGGCTTCCTCAGGTTTTTGATATTGTCTGATATTACTCAGACACTGCGACCCCATTGGTGACCCTGACGTGATCACAACAGCTGCTGCTGATAGAGTGGAGAGATGGATGGGGCGGCAAAGAGGAGCTGCCCACAGCCTTTGAGCTGTGAAGGGCGGCCTCCAGCACTGCAGGGCAACCAGGAAGAGTTTCCTTCAGCCTTTGAGCTGCAAAGAGTGGCATAAAGAGCTGTGATTGGTCTGGACCCTCTTTTTTTTCCTTCTTATTAGTTTTCTTTTTGTAAGTGTGTCATGGTTTAGGCCTGGCACAGAGCCAGTGCCCCCATGAGAATACCCTCTCCCTGGTGTCTGCTGTGAGATGTGACCAGGAATAAGCAAAGCAGGCTCCAGCTTAGAAATAAAGAAAACTTTATTAACTAAAACTACAAGAAAAGAAGAAAAAACTATAAGGGGAAAAAAATTGAAAACCTTACAAAAAGCACTTTCCTCCTCCTCCCCACCAAAATTTCCCAATGCAATACATTCCCCCAAATCACCAACTCTCAGTCCAGCACCACCCTTTAGAATACTCAATCTTCAGTTCATGAAGAGGAGAGGAGTCCTTCTTGTACCATAGGCTTCCCTTGGAAACACGTTGAAACCTCGTGTGTTTCCATGTCACTCAGCACCGCCGGGAAAGTCTTTTGCCATCATGACATCTTTCCTTCCATGTCCAGTGCTCTCACCACTGTGCATGGAGCAGACCTTGTTCTAGGGTTGTCTTTCAAGGATGCCTTGTCTCACTCCAAAAAGAAAGGCACAGTCTCTGCTTTGGGACATCTGTCCCCCCCATTTTTTCACCCCCTGGGGCCGAGGGGTACTCACACTGAACCCTCCCGGTTCTGAGGCACTGCCTCCCCCTAAATGCAGTCTCTGTGTCACAGGAAAAAAACTGGTTCAGTCTATGGCCACACAAGAAAAGTCCAGCCAAAAGGCCACTCCGTCATCTCTCTCCCACTCAAGAGTCTTCTCCACTTCCCTTGGGCCTATCCCTTGTTATCTCATCTCATCTCTTATCTCTCTTCTTATTCAGCTCCAGGAGGATCAGCATTTTGCAAGGTCTCAATCATGCAGGAAAAGGGTTAAAATTTTCAGTCTCTGCCTGTCCCAGAGCTCTGGAACTCCCACGCTGCCCTTGCACTCCCCCCGCTTCTCCTCCTGGGCCAGCGCCGCTATCGAATTCAGATGGTGTCTCTCTCTCTCTCTCTCTCTCTCTCTCTTTTCCCTGGGGGGGGCTGCCTGATGTCTCTTGGTCTCTTCCACCCTTCCATCCTTGGGCTGGGCCTACCTCATGGCTGCGTGGCTTTTCCCCTCCCCCCACCCAGCTGGCAGCTGGGACAGGGGGAGAGATCCAAAGCCTTTCCCGACAGATGTCCCAAGAAGCTCCCGGGGCGTGCAGCTCTGGGTTTTAACCCCTGTGTTTTTTCTCAGAGGCGGTCCTACAATCTGAGCATCCATTGGCCTGATGGTAGTGACCACAGCATCCCAGAAATCCCATTTCCGGTCCAACCACCACAAAGTGGAAGACACCACTAGCATGGGAGCAGGGGCTTTGAAACTGGTGGATCCCTTCTGCAGGTATGGATTCCTATTTTAAAGAAAATATTTGAAAAATATGATGACTGGTCTTTATTAGTCCTAAGTCCGTGGTGTGAGAGCCACAGACTGGACATGTTGGAAGCGGCTGCCCTAGTTTTAAAAACTTAGAAGTGGGCTTGTAGAAGAATTCTTGGCAGAACAAGGGCATGCTATACTCCTACAGGAATTGGATGACCCTGGCCTGCAGATTGCAGAGTTACTTTGAAGACCATGTACCATCCTCGGAACAAGATAGACCATGTCCTGTCCTTGAATAGATACAAGGAAGAATAAGCATTGTGCAAGGACGAAGCCGGATGCCAAACAACTGCTAATTTAGCTCACCTTAGCTAAAACGCTTACAGTGTGGCAACCTATCAACAAGTAACATGTATGTGTGAATACAGCCACTTAACCAATAAGCATTAAGCAGTGGTGGTGTGAGACAAGTGTATAGAAGCATAAATATGACAAAATTGCTAAATAAAGGAAGAGGACATGTAGCCACATTGGTGTGATTGTCATTACTCAGCCGACTCTCCGTGGGACCCTCTTCATACTGGCGCCACGAACAGGGACCGTCTGAGATGCTTGAATGCGGTTTGCCTAAATGTGGAAGACTCTGAAGCATCAGGCAGGAACCTGATTTGGGATCCAGAGAGTCAGAGGCAGGAGAGACCTGGTGGGCAAACACAGAGACCAGAGTCCAGAGCTTAAGTGGCCGAACAAGCCCCTGCCAAGGTAAGACTGCAATGGAATTAGATGCAGCAATTAGATTGCTCACAAGTATCCTCTCTAAGAGAGGCGAGGACATAAAAGAAACAGAAATAGAAGCCCTAGTGAAATGGGCATGAAAAAGAAAACAATTTCTTGAGCCTTCCCTGCTATTTAGTACAACTGAGTGGAAAGAGGTAGGAAACCATCTTTGGGATAGCACAATAGAAGGAGGAAAAGATGGAAAAGAAGCAAAAGAGTTAGGAGCCACCTGTAAATCTATTAGTAACAGTTTAGAAACTATGAAAGCTAAGAAAAACATGGCTGCTGCAGCCACTGAAGCTTTAGGAGGCGATGTTAGTGAACGGCAACGAGAGATAAAAAACCCAACATCTCCTAAACCATCACGTCTTGCTACCTTCTTTGGGGTCAGAAATACTCAACCTCTGAATGGAATTACCACTCCCGTTTGCTCTACTTTGCAAGAAATGATAGGTAGTGTATCACAAAAAGAAGAAGTTTCCCCACAGGAACTTTTTACAGGTGACCAAAACCAAAAAGAAGTACTCGATCGCCCTCTTGCAGGAGAAAAGCAGAACAATAAATCACTCAGAGCGATTAGTGGTGTGAGACCAAAAAGAGAAGTTACAGCTTGCAGGCAAGATAAAAAGAAAAAAGAATATTTTTCTCCATATTGTTCTCGTTCTTCGTGTCATTCACCGTGCTGCTCCCCTTTGTATCCCCCCTTGCCTGAAACATCGTCAGATGAATTCAAGGAAGAAGAAGAAAGAAATCAAACTCGTGAATCAAAATACCCTAAACTTAATGATCCACTTCAAGAAATACTAAAGAAAATAGCAGAATTATCCTCCTGGCAAGAACAATTAGAAAAACAAACAGAAAACATGGAAAAATCAGAAGTTTTACTTACACCCCTTTCCACTTCAGTGCCTATCACTCCTACTGCTCCACGAGTCCCTGGGTGGCTTGTGTCACCTCCACAGGCTCCCAAGCCAGAAAAAGATCCAATACAGCAACGCTGGTCAAGAGTTATTCATGATGCAATCTTAGATGGAGAATCATGTGGAGAGCTTTGTAGACAGTTGGTTAGCTGAGAAAGATCATGTCGACATAATGCCGCTGGTTAAGCCTGAAGGGGACAAGTATAGGAGTCAGCAGTCAGTGTCCAATAACAGGCAAGGGCATTGTGCCCTTGGTGCAACAGCAGGATAGGGGAGAGCATCTTTGGCAGAAATACGAAGAAAAGTTTCAATAAAATATCCACAAGAATGCAGAAGTTGGCATAGTTGCCTGATAAGTAACTAACCAATAGTGAGCTCACCTTTGCAATATGTATGAGCCTCATTAACATTGACATAAAGATGTGTACCTATCAATAAAGTTTGAGATTTGCTGATCACTCATATTGCGTGTCGCATTTCTCCTGCCGATCCCAACAACATGGTGACCCCAACGACATGATACCAGTAATGGCGACCACGGGGTATCGGTGAAGGAGTTCGGGTCCTGCTGCAGCAAGGACGGCGAAAAAGCACCGCTGAAAACAGGGGTGGTGCTGTGCCCTGGGTGACTTCAAAGGAGAGCCCGGCCGATACGTGCTGCCGAGACCTTGTGGGGCTGCAACAGTGCTGACATTTTTAAAATGGAAGGGCAAGCAGCGTATGATTTATTTACTTGCTTTTTAAAAAAGCTACAGGTTAAGGGCATAGATTTGCAGAAAGAGCTTCATGGGTTATTAGCTTATGGGTATGCACAGGGGTTCTTCCAAAATCCTCATACAGTCCATGAATTAAGTGAGTGGCGAAAGTTTGGAGATAAGCTGTGGGAGGCAGTTTTAGATGATGATAAAACTGCAAAGAAGTTAGGAAAGTTATGACGAGTGGTGCATAATGAGCTAGAACAATATCAGGTAGAAAAGAAGGCTGCAGAGCAAGCTACTGCTGCTCATAGTAAGAATAAAAAGTTATGGAGATTGGTCAGATTGCCCATTACCCCCTGCCACATCCACAGTTATCTTGCCACCAACATCGGCTCCTGCTTCAAGCAGCAACTCACCCCCCATAACAGCACCATCCGCACCACCTGTTCCCTGGCCAGACCCTCCCTCTCCCCCTCCTAGCAATGAGCCGATCCCTGGGGCAGAGAGTGACCTAGCGGGGGCCATTGCACAAGAGCGGAGGAAGGCATGGGCAGCGGTAGCAAAAGAGATCATGGATTCGGGAGATTGTGAGGCTATGGCAGCAGCTATGGAAGTGGTTTGCCTGGTGGTGTATACTGCTCTGGACAGGGGTGGATTACAGGCAGCAATTACTGCTCTAGATTGGAAACTGTTGTCGCAGTTACAGTCCACAGTTAGTCAATTTGGGGTGACCGGTGAGCCCACAAAGCAAATGCTTGACTATATTTGGGGGACCCAGGTGTTATTGCCAGCTGATTGTAGAGGAATAGTGAAGCTTATTTTTACTCAACATCAGCAGCTTCTGTTTAATGCACACTGGCAAGCACTCTGCCAGGAGTGCGTAGCAGTGGTTCGGCAACCTGGTGACCCTTTACATGGGGTAAACTTAGATGAATTATTGGGTATAGAGGTTTTTGCTCGAACAGAAGCACAAGCGTTAATCGGTCCTGATAAATGTTGAGAGGCTATGCGACTGGTGGGACT